ATATATATACAGAGACATGCATATAGAAAAAAATAAGGAGGGGAGGAGGGATGGATGGAAGGGCAGGGCTTTTGTAGACTAAAGAAGCTCAGCCTGATGTTTTAACTTATATTTTTCTTTGGCATCCTGGTATCTTCTGTAGCAAATACTTGTGGACTATCACTGGGGATAAAGAAAGAAAGAACGGAAATCATCCAGATGTACGGGTATGCAAGAAGTTATTTTGTTTCCCAGCCTTGGCAGGAAAGACGTGCTTCTTTCGTGACATCCAGCTTGGGTCATTAACAGGAAAACACCTAGGATCTTCTGCATTAAAAAAGAAATTCAGCTCCTGCCATTGAAACTAAAAGAATAAATTCATACTTGCACAGTTTCAGTGTGTGTGGGTATCCCCCCAACATCAAACCTAATCAGAATGGGAGACAGGGGAAAACGGACAGCTTTTTACAGATTTTGATAGCTCAAACACAGGTATTACGATGCATTTGTTCACAAATTTTTCAGCCAGCCTCATCTGATGAGATACGCAGCATTTCACATCATTACCCAACAGCATATTTGCATACAGGCAGCTACCAAATCTGCATGCAGTTGATCCAAAGCCTAATGAAGACAGCGGTAACTTATAAATGCAGGGGGTCTCTGTACCTCCCTACACACACAAGGGAACCTTTGTCCACCTGCACAAATAAATAAGTGTTCAAAAAACACCAGCATGTGTACCTTCTCATTTTTTTAACATACAAACTGATTGTCTTGACCTTAGATGAACCTGCATTAGAGGATCATTTTAGCACAATTTTACTTATGTAGGATATATATTTTAAAAGAATTGAAGACTTGCTCATTTACCTTCCAGAACCCAATTAGAAAAGAACTCTGAAAGCCCCGTGAGCCTCTTACCTTATTGTTTGCCAGGTACAGATAGTTCAGGTTCTCCAGATGCTCAAATGCTTCCTCTGGCAACCCTTGAAAACAGGAATAACTAATAGGTGACATTGGCAGCTTATTGCCTCTCTGAGTGAAAATACCAGAGGGCAGCTTTTCTCTTTCAGATAATATCTTTAATGTGAGATTTAAATCTTTTTCATTGCCACTGAAACAATCTGCCTCAGACCTATTGTCGTCTTTTGAGTTTTTCTAATTAAAACCCACAAACACACCACCACAAACTGTTAAGAGCAAAGGAAGACCATTAAAAATCCTAAGCATGCAAGGCTGGTGGCCAGCCCCAGTGGCAGGGGTCAGGTAGAGAGCTGTGTTAACTCACTGTACGGCTGATTATCGGTGCTCGCGACAACCATGCTGTCTGAGAAGTGTCTTTTGTCATTTGCTCATGAATCTGCAAATCATTTTTCTTGGAAGGACATAAACTGAGGTTGTTTAATGATCAGATCAATCTGGTCTATGACCAATTGATATTGCCAAAGTAACACCAGTATCTGCATGTCATAAGCCTTCTTGTGTTCTGCTCCCCAACGATCCAGACAGCAACTCTCAGAGAACTGATCCAACTCAGAGTTTACTCCCCCTCCCCAGTAATTATTATTTTTCAGCTGAATCACTCCATATCCGGATGATCACACAAGGACAATTGCTGTCACAATGGAAAGGCTGCAAATAACATTTTCACCTGGCACTTAGATACCCGTAAATCAAAGGTGTAGCTGTTCCCCACATCAAAGCATTTTGGAAACTCAGGGCTGCACTGAAGCTTGTGAAAGAAACATCAAGCCACAAAGGTAATAATGTCAAAATCTGATTCTATTAAGCCTTCCTTGTGCTATGTAAGAGTGATGGTTTGGGTGCCATGCATAATATGCTCACATTGTCAGTGAAGATTGTTCTGTATCACTGGAATAAGGAGAGCACCAGCAATCAGAGCAACTGGGTGACACACAAGTTAACAACAACTACATCTCTTGTACTGTATACCCTCCTCTCTTACTATTTACTCCAACTCCTCTGTTTCTTTTGCTTTCCTTACTAACCCTTTGTCAAATTTCTCTAATAAGCATGTGATCACGCAAACAAAATCTGTCTACAAAACTCAAAACAGTTTTAGAAGAGTGGAAGTTCCCTTATTTGTAATATATGTTATTTATATTCAATTTCACAAGGACCGAACCGGACTAAACTGCACTGACTGACTGACTGACTCGACTGAACTAAACAAATGGATTATGAAACAAGGTCAGTCAGAAGGAAATCATTCAGCATGTAGACATTTCTGTTTCTCAACTGCATTGCACTGATGTGCCTGTGGGACCAGAGGGAGTTTCCTGGACGAGCAGATCTCACGCCACAGCACACCGCACTGCTGCCAGGTCTCCTCCGCTGGTTCCGTAAGGCTGCATTCTTATACACTGAGTATTATGTTTCGGATGATAAAGTGCCTCCATGATCTATGTGATGGCCAAAGAAGCACAGTTTATAGCTAACTACTCCAGCCTAGTCAGTCCATCACTCCTTCTAGCCTTCCTTACCAGCTGTCACTGCTCTAACTGCACAAGCTGGTGTTGAGGAGGCACAGGCTCTGCCCACCTCGTGCCTCTGCCGGCTTACCTTTTGAAGTTAGCCTGTTGTTCTGCAAATTGAGAGTTTCCAGTCTGTAAAGACGAGCAAGCTCTTCTGGAAAGATTTCTTCTATCTGGTTATTCTAAGAGAATGGAGAGTATTAATCACCGGCAAAGTAATCCAAGAAGGATCCCAATAAACCCAGACTGTGAACTCCAATAAAATTTGGAAATGAATCCACCCTGTCAAATCATTGTCAACAGACCTCCCTCCGTAATGAGCCAAGCTCAGATCTCAAAACCAAGACATCCAAACCCAGCAGCATTTGGAGGCCTGAACCAAGTTCTGTAGCTTGTGCTCATCTCCAGAAATATCCGGCTTATGCACTGGTAGCACACAAAGAGTGTGATTATGCCTGGCAAGGCCTGTAATCCATCTGCTGCAGCCAAACCTCTTACTGCAGCAAAGCGTTTGCGACAAGGCTGGCAGAGTGGATTTCCAAGTTTATTACTTCTGTTATTTACGTGTTGTTTTAAAAACCACTCGTCATGGGCACGGGGAGGCCAACTGGGCTCACTTGCTCTGCTTCTGCTGTCAGGAGTGACCGCCGTCAGATTCTCATTAACATGCTGACTATCATTTAGAGCATTAATGAGTGATTCTAGTGTTTTAGCATCTAGGGGACCAGTCAAGGACCCACTGGGCTGGAAGCCAGGCCAATACACACAAAGTGACAGCTGCTGCTCCAAAAAGCTTCTTTGCTCTTGGCAGCAGAGCCGGGAGCCGTGGCTAGCACACGCCTGGGACAGATCTGCTGAGGAAGGTGCCAGCTTACGTTACAGTTTTTCTAACTGTGCTGCACTTGGATAGAAAGCTCTGAGCAAAATCTGCAATTTATCCATTAAACAGAATGGGCAAATGGGAGCAATAAACAAAAAAGCAGTTGGTTAAGGGCCAAAGAAGCCTCACAGAGAAGCCTGGAGCCACTGCTCAGGGGAGGAATGGCCATGGGACTGCCAGGCTCCAGCCCTGCTCATGTCCTCAGGAGTCTGAGGACAGGCAGGGAAAGGATGGCTGCCCAAACACTGGTCACAGGGATCAATTAACAGCAGACCACAGAAACCTGCCGACAGTTTCAGACAGACTGATGCTTCCACCTGAAACTTGAACCTCATGGAACAATAGAATGGGTTGGGTTGGAAGGGACCTTAAAGATCATCTAGTTCCAACCCTCTGCCATGGGCAGGGACACCTCCCGCTAGGCCAGGTTGCTCAAAGCCCCATCCAGCCTAGCCTTAAACCTCATTTCATTACATGCCCTTCTCCTGAAGACACGATGTCTCTGCACCGCAACTATTTCCTGCAGGCACAACATGAGTTTCCCGGGTAAAACGACCCAAGAGCGTCCCGGTGGCAGGCAGCCCAGCAGGTCTGGATGTCACAGGCGATGGCGCTCGGTGTGACGGGTGGCTCCATCCATGTCACCCCTGCTCCTGCTGCAGGGAGAGGGCGTGAGGGAGAGGGGGCTCTGGGGGACACTGGTTGGGTCAGTGTCTGGTCTGGGACACCACGTTTACAACACTTCAGCCTCATTTCATTACATGCCCTTCTCCTGAAGACACGATGTCTCTGCACCGCAACTATTTCCTGCAGGCACAACATGAGTTTCCCGGGTAAAACGACCCAAGAGCGTCCCGGTGGCAGGCAGCCCAGCAGGTCTGGATGTCACAGGCGATGGCGCTCGGTGTGACGGGTGGCTCCATCCATGTCACCCCTGCTCCTGCTGCGGGGAGAGGGTGTGAGGGAGAGGAGACTCTGGGGGACACTGGTTGGGTCCGTGTCTGGGACACCACATTTACAACACTTCAGCTAACAGGTTGTGCAGTGAGAAAATGTCCCGTTAATGAAGTAATTTAGCCCACGCTCTTCAAAGCCACATCAAAATGAGAGGCCTTCACTAAAGAGGAAACATTACTTCGGACAAAAACTCTTCTCTTGGAGCTGGGGAGAGAATAAGGAGAATAAATGTCTGTCTTTTCTTCTCCTCCCTGGATGTGTGGGGCAGAGAACCGATGCCAATAACCGGGCGCGTTGGTGGAGGGCGAGCCCTGGGCCCAAGGCACCTCCTGCTCCGCGGGCGACGCCGAGGAGCCGCCGGGGAGGCGGGAAGGAGCCGGGCCCAAGCCCAGGCCGGGGCAGGGGCCTGTGCGGCCCGGGGTCACCCCTCAGGCGGCCGGGGCCCGCGGGACGCGGGTGGTGCGGGCCGGGGCCGGGCCCCCTTACCTGCAGGGAGAGGTGGTTGGTCAGCTCCGGCAGCAGGAGCGGGAACTCCTTCAGGTCGATGCCGCCGCAGTCCACGACGCCCTCCTGGCTGCAGCCGCAGTCGCGGGGGCAGGCGGGGGCCGGGCCGGGCGG